TTCTGATGAGTAGAACTGGATTTGATGGACAAAATGGTGAGTTCCAGCTGATGCTTGTTGCGGAATTTTGATCCATCATCATGCTTACCATGTGCTTCCACCATATAGCTCCAATATGGTGATTGTTGCAATCAATGAATACATACCGGTGAGTAATTGGGACATGGTCGAGGCAATGCTGATGAGTAGAACTGGATTTGATCGACAAAATGGTGAGTTCCAACTAATGCTTGTTGTGAAATTTTGATCCATCATCATGCTTACCATGTGCTTTCACCATATAGGTCAAATATGATGGTTGTTCCAATCAAGAAATACATACTGGTGACCGATTGGGACATGGCCACGGTAATTCTGATGAGTAGAACTGGATTTGATGGACAAAATGGTGAGTTCCAGCTGATGCTTGTTGCGGAATTTTGATCCATCATCATGCTTACCATGTGCTTCCACCATATAGCTCCAATATGGTGATTGTTGCAATCAATGAATACATACCGGTGAGTAATTGGGACATGGTCGAGGCAATGCTGATGAGTAGAACTGGATTTGATCGACAAAATGGTGAGTTCCAACTAATGCTTGTTGTGAAATTTTGATCCATCATCATGCTTACCATGTGCTTTCACCATATAGGTCAAATATGATGGTTGTTCCAATCAAGAAATACATACTGGTGACCGATTGGGACATGGCCACGGTAATTCTGATGAGTAGAACTGGATTTGATGGACAAAATGGTGAGTTCCAGCTGATGCTTGTTGCGGAATTTTGATCCATCATCATGCTTACCATGTGCTTCCACCATATAGCTCCAATATGGTGATTGTTGCAATCAATGAATACATACCGGTGAGTAATTGGGACATGGTCGAGGCAATGCTGATGAGTAGAACTGGATTTGATCGACAAAATGGTGAGTTCCAACTAATGCTTGTTGTGAAATTTTGATCCATCATCATGCTTACCATGTGCTTTCACCATATAGGTCAAATATGATGGTTGTTCCAATCAAGAAATACATACTGGTGACCGATTGGGACATGGCCACGGTAATTCTGATGAGTAGAACTGGATTTGATGGACAAAATGGTGAGTTCCAGCTGATGCTTGTTGCGGAATTTCGATCCATCATCATGCTTACCATGTGCTTCCACCATATAGCTCCAATATGGTGATTGTTACAATCAATGAATACATACTGGTGAGCAATTGGGACATCGCAGAGGCAATTCTGTCAAGTATGGAACTGGACCTGATGGCCCAGTTTGTGAGTTCCAGCTGATGCTTCTTGTTGGTCAAGAGTTTCAGTTGATTGTCATGCTTACCTATGCTTCCCCCAGGGTACAGATCAAAGAGAATGAATGCTCCAATGTATAAATATGCAACAATGGCGCCGGACTGGTTATTAGGGAGACAAATCTACTTGTTGGAACTGGAACTGATCTTAGTTCCTGCTGATGTCCTTTTGGACAGTCATGGTGCTTATGCTTCCATGATTGCTCCACTTCATAAAAGTATACTAATAGCAAGTGATTGATGGATCATCTTCACCTTAGAGTTCCACTGCCTTAATGATTGTGCTCCAATTAGTATTAGTATAGTACTTTTTGCCTGATGAAATGGATTTGACTGATGGCAATGCGAAGCAGATAAAGTTGGTGCCACTATGGTTAGTGCTTGTATTGACTTTTCATCTGTGATGGGACCCAGACTCACTGTGATTGACTATCATTCTTTCAGTGCCAAAGTATGGTGTTAGCTAACAGGGACAACACCAACATTTGTTTGGTGATGCTGCCTACCGGTAGTCATTAGTAGGTAAATAGTTTATACTAGGTGGTAATAGGCCTAATGTTTTTTAAAACATATGCTACTGTACTATTTATGAGCTCATCGGACAAGATTACATAGCCATGGTTGGTAATCTTCTTCAGCCTCCAATTGACAAGCAACTCTCCTGACCAGGAGGTGGATCTCAATAGTAATGTTATTGTTCTTGTTCTGACTTCCAACTTGGGAGCCTGATTCATTGGCTGTCCATGAAACCTTGTCTCATCTTCTAGGAAGAGCCAGCCTGATTCCAAGATGCCGTCATGAAGCTGATTGTCTTGTAAACGCCACATCGCTAATTCTTCAATCGTATCAAGTGTTGGATCTCCTCAATCCTGCTCCCATTTTAAAAGCAACTCTCATGACCAGGAAATGGATTTCACTATGGCATTGTTGCTATGCAAGGAAATTGATCAAATGCATTGATGGTACAGTGCTCGGCAATCATCTCCAATAAGATCGCATGGATTCAATTGAAGACATTGGCCTTGCAATGATTGCCACAATAAGGTGGAGCCTCTGGCCCAGCAAACACAAGAACCAAGTCCACGCATTCTTCTATTGGCAAGATCTTCTGCCATGGTTGCAAGGTGCTACTAGCAGAAGTTTTGGTGGGTTTCTTCTCCCTGTATAGTATCATCCAAGCATGATGCTGAATATTCAATGGTTTTGGGGAGATATATGGCGCACCTTTGGTTGTTTGACCGTGAGATCATGCATTCCAACAAAAAAAATTTAAAAAATATATATGACATGAATGATATATAAAAATTGATGGCAAGTTGTCTGTGATTTCGGTCCGAATTCAAATCTGAGAATTTCTCAGATTTAATTAATTTTGGCCTTTGGCAGGCTGGCGTGCAATTTTTTTTAAATCTGAGAAATTCTCAGATTTGAAAAGCCAAGGTATCCAAAATTGGACCAAAATATTGATTGACGTATGTAGAATGTACCATAATCAAATCTGAGAAACTCTCAGATTTGAATTCTGTTCGCAAAAGGGTTTTAATAAAAATATGGAAGGCATATGAGCGAGAGCTGCCATTTTGAAGCAAGTGGATGGACGGCAATAATAACCATCGACAATACAATGCTTGCTCTCTCCGCCTCCTTTTTCTGATAATCACCGTGTTTCCACTGATTGGAAATCTTGTATTGTCGACAAGAAACCTACTGGAAGGACAAGAAGAAAAATACTCAAAGACTACTCCTCATACTAATATTATTTATGGTCAGGATGTCTCCTCGCGGTCGTCTCGCATCATCAGCCATTCCCCTAAGAATCATGAGGACTCTAATAACAACAGCAACGACAGCAGCAACAACAACGACAACAACAGCATGACAGCACGTCCAATAGCAATGGTTCCATCATCACGCAATAACAACAACAGTAACAGTATCAATGAGGATGATCCAATGATTACATGTCGATTGCAAATCGAGCGCTGGCTCCAACCGCAAATTGCCCATTGGATTCAACAAGAACTGCCCATTCTGGATTGGGTATCTAGGCTGCCCAATGGAATCTTGCAAATTCAGTTTCTCAGCGAGCATTTGAAATGGACCAACAGTGAAAAGACCCAAGGTTTAGTTCTCAAACATTTCCATTGGTATTGTGGTACTACCAATAGCAGTACTAATGGCACCTATCATGAACCGGCAATGGTGCATCACGTCAGCAAATCCCATTTGTTCTTTCTACACTGCAATCTGACGAGTATTCAGCAACATAATCATGATTATGATGAGGAGGATGTTGACATTCAAGTGTGGACCAACGACTCATTTCCTTCTTCCACCAAGAAGCATGTCACGACTTTGTATCAATTGAAACCACTCATGGATTGCGATGCCATAGAGCAACAACAATATGGAAAACCACCAACAACGCCACAAAGTCCCACCACCACCAACAACAACAACAACAACAACAACAACAACAACAACATTCAGTTGGCAATGTGTTCCGTCCTGTATGGTTACGACGCCTCGGCCATGCTTGTCCAATTTGCCGAATATTACGCCCATTACAAACGATTGGGAGTTCAACACTTTTGGGTCTTTGTCAATACGGCAACGACGACGACGACGACGAGTAATGGAAAATTACCATCGACATCACTTCTTTCCATACAACTACAACCACAATCCACTACTCGTACTACTTATTTAGTATTACCAAACGTCGACGACGTCACGTACATTCCTTACAATTTTCGATGGAACGATTTCATGAAGTATGCCAACTTTAGTGCACCCTTTTTGGGGGCAAGCATGTGGCAAGAAGCCATGCAGAATCAATGTTTGTCACGATTGCGACGATATGGTGTCAAATGGATAATGACCCTAGATGTGGACGAGTTTGTGGAAATTCGTGGTAACAACGATGAGTCCTCGAGACGAGACAAAGAAGAAGAATATCCATTGCGATCCTTCTTGTCACGATATGACCAAGACAACGACGACGATGGCGATCACGACGACGGAAGTATCCAAAAAACCAACGAGACAAACGACAACAACAACAACAAGGAGAACGGGAAGGCAAACAATAAGAGACAGAAAGACAAGCCCGTTGGAGCATTGCGTATGAGGTCGGTCCCCTTTCCGACCAACCGGAAATTCGATTTACCCACATTTCGACCCTACTGCATGGCCATGGATCATGTACATCGGTGGGATGATACCCTTGGGACCTATATCGATGCCAAAAGACCCAAAATGATTTATCAGGCCCAACTCTGCGATGTTGCAGGAGTCCATTGGTGTCGAAGGTACAATCGCGGAGCTATTTCCCAAAGTTTGAATGCGACTCATGAGATTATGTTGCATCACATTCGAGCCGCCACCGCGGTGACGAATATTGGTTGGGTTATAAAAAGATTGGAGGAAAGGGAATGGTGAAAGATTCCGCAATGGCCGAACAATATCGCATTCAAGTATGTCATGATATGATCCATGGTCCATTTGCGGCGTTTGTTACGCATTTGGATGAAGCCAAATGCAACGATTGGCCACCGCCCAAGTCTGGTATGAACAAATAGGATTTTGATGATGATGATACAGTAGTATAGCAGTCTAAATGTGTAGTTTTGATTTCCAAAAATAGTATATCCCCATTATTTTGATATAGGATATTGCAATTGCACCACTTAGGATTTCCAAAATGTCACTATATTTGGCAACACAAAGGAGGCTCCACATGTCGTTCGAGCAACCTCGCGGTCCACACCTGCTGCTGATCCATTTAGTGACGAATCATCATTATTCTTGTTGCTTGCCAAGGACATTTCAAATTTCCACAGAGCCAACTCCAGTAGGCTAGTTTTCTCTAGATTGGCATATCCTTCAAGTACGGCACGGGTATTGAGAATCATTTATTCTCTCTCGGCTCTGTCATCTACCTCATATATGGCATTTACACGAGCTGTCATGTCATGCCTCCATCGCTCTAGACCCCAACTGGATATGGAGTCTACCATCCATTTTTGAAGTACCATTTGAAACATGGATCTCCACGACTCGGTCCATATGCATCCCAAGAAGTCCGTCGCTAGGTTTCCACTTTTATCCTTCCAATCGAGCATGTTGACCAGACATTCCTCCAAAAGAATCTGCAGCAAGTCTTTCCGGCACTTGGCCGCCGAGAATAAAATGTGGAACGGGGTCATTCCAAATGGATCTGTAAGGTCTTGCTGGTAGGCTTGTTGCTCGATTTGTCGGTTCTCTTGATTCCAGTCCATTGCCTTCATTTGCTGTTTCAATGCCTCCGGAGTCGTAGAGGAGGCATAATAACAGAGCTTGTGAACGGGATAGGCATTGAATCGAGAGGATAGTCCGAGTACGGTATTTTCAACTCCATATTCCTCTTGTAGCAAATGACATTCGTCAAAGCACGTGTAATGAATCTTGCTGCTGCTGCTGCTGCTTTGCTGGTCTTGTTCATTATAATTCTTGGGCGGTCGTGGCAAGCAAATGTTTGCCAATGAATGACATTCGTGAAAGGCCCCTTCTTGGATCCACAACTCATCGTCAGCTAGAGTAGTAGCAGTAGCAGCAGTAGGAGGAGCAGGAAGTTCAATGGAAATCAAGCTTTCGCATCGATTGAACGCGCAAAAGCCAATCGATTGGATGGATTTTGTCAATGCCATTGCCTTCAAGGAGGTACACTTTTCGAACGCGTGTTCTCCCAATTCGACAGTTCCTTCTTGTATCTCAATCTCTTTGAGTGATTTACACTCAAAGAAGGTATGAACTCGAATGACTTTGACCGTGGAAGGAATCTTGATGGAGGACAAGGAACGACAGCCAGAGAAAGCACCGGGTCCAAGAACTTTCAGCCCTTCGCATAGATCAACATTCGCCAAAGACCGACATCGAAGAAAGGCATACTCATCAATGATCTCGACTGTTTTGGGAACCTTGATACTTTCCAATGACGAACAGGAATGAAAGGCATACGAGCCGATCCTTGTCAGCAACGCGTTCGACATGTCCACTTCCGTCAAGGCGCTACAAGAATGAAATGTGTAGGATTCAATCATTTCCAAGGAAGAGGGGATCTTAACTGTTTGCAAGGCGGAACAAGTGAAGAAAGCTCGTCTTTCAATCCTTTTTAATCCTCCAGGAAAGTGAACCTCCATTAGTGCCGAGCAAAATCCAAAGGCGTACCCTTGAATGACTTGCACAGTGGAAGGTAGCGTAATCGTTTCCAAGGCAGGACAAGATCGAAAGGCATTTCTTCCAATGGTTTTCAGACCCCCTCCTTCAGCTTCTGATGATTCAGTAAAGGTGACTTGCTTCAGCCTCAGACGCTTCTTGCAACATTCAGCTGGCAAGTCTTGAACCGAAGGATCTATGGTAAGCCTTTCCACTTCCATGGGAATTCGTTCATCTTCCTTTCCCCCGAAGTACGTAAAGGAAGTGGTCATCTTGATGGAGTGGACAGACACGCTTGCATTGGAAGCTACTTTACTGTAGATGCCTCGACTGGTGATGTGTCTTTGCTTGCCTTGCACTATAATAACTATTATTATATCTCCTTGTTGTATTAATAATTACATGTGCTTTTATTTCTGAAAGATCTCTCCAGCATTACAGTATGATGATGACGACCGAGGCGGTGATGATGATGCGCGATGCGACACGCGATGCGATGTGCATGTCCAGTATGGAGTAGACACACTCTCTAGCCATCGTCTTGCGGTCAACCCACCCCGCCTGTCGGTCGCACGTTCGCTCGTTCACGTGCGACAGACAGACGTAACGGATGAACCATAGACGATGGTTGAATGGCTACTGTAGAGAGTGGGAGTAGACCTTTGATTGATTGATTTATTCGAGAAAGAAATATGTGCAATTCATATATATAAACGTATAATAATACCATGAGAATATATACCTGCGGTACGATCGCCATCTACGGTTGTAGGCATTGCATTCATGCCATGCAATATTGGCACCCTCGCAACAAAACACAAGCCTTACAGAAACGAAAGAAAATATTCGAGTCATTAGCATCCTTTGTTTTCGCATGCCAAGACATCAGCACCGTTCTAGACAAACAGCTTCTTGATCACCTCCAAATGACCATCACAACAGGACCTTTGGACTAGCAACATGACCAGGTCGAATTCATCCTTGCAACACATCATTTCAAATGGCGTCATCCCAATTGTGGCTTTGGCATGAGCATCAGCACCCTTTTTGACTAGAAACTTGACTACCTTCAAATTACCCTTCCCACATGCCACATGCATCGGTGTCTCTCCACCTTTTTTCTTGGCATTGACATCAACACCCTTTTTGACTAGAAACTTGACTACCTTCAAATGACTATCACTGCATGCCATATGCATCGGTGTCTCTCCACCCTTTGTTTTGGAATTGACATCAGCACTCTTTTTGACTAGAAACTTGACTATCTTCAAATGACCCTTCCCACATGCAAAATGCATCGGTGCCTCTCCACCTTTTGTTTTGGCATCGACATCAGCGCCTGTCTGGACGAGCCATTTGACGAGCTCTAATTGACCCTCACTGCATGCCATATGCAATGATGTCTTTCCTTCACCGTCTGTGGCATTCACATTAGCACCCTTATCGAGTAACAACTTGAATACCTTCCAATGAAGACACTTTTGTGCCTTGTATAATGATGTATTTCCAACGCCGTCTGTGGCAGTAATGTCGGCACCCTTCTCGAGTAGCAACTTGACTACCTCTAAATGACCTTTATCGCATGCATGGTGCAATGGTGTGCTTCCCCTTTTGTTCCTGGTATCAATGTTAGCACCCTTCTCGAGTAGCAACTTCGCTATCTCTAAATGACCCTCGTAGCATGCTTGATGTAATGGTGTGTCTCCAATTTGATCCTTGGCATTAATCTCAGCACCCTTCTCGAGTAGCAACCTAGCTATCTCTAAATGACCTTCATTGCATGCAAAGTTCAATGGTGTGCGTCCCCTGTTGTCTTTGTCACCAATGTCAGCACCATTCTCGAGTAGCAGCTTGACTATCTCTAAATGGCCCTTGTCGCATGAAACATGCAATTGTGTGTTTCCTTCATCGTCTGTTGCATTAATGTCAGTACCCGTCTCGAGTAGCAACCGAGCTATCTCTAAATGACCTTTATCGCATGCAAAGTTCAATGGTTCTCCATATTGATACTTGGCTTGAATGCCAGCACCCTTCTCAAGTAGCAACCTAGCTATCTCTAAATGACCTGCATTGCATGCAAAGTTCAATGGTGTGCTTCCAAATTGATTCTTGGCATGAATGTCAGCACCCTTCTCAAGTAGCGACTTGACTATCTCCAAATGACCATTATCGCATGCCGTGTACAGTGGTGTATTTCCATATTGATTCTTGGCATCAATGTCTGCACCCTTCTCGAGTAGTAACTTGACTATCTCTAAATGACCTGCATCGCATGCCATGTACAATGGACTCCATCCATATTGATTTTTTGCATTAATATCAGCACCCTTCTCAAGTAGCAACTCGACTATCTCAAAATGACCCCAGTAAAACGTACATGCAAAGTGCAATGGAACCCGTCCACCACTGTCTTTGGCATGAATGTCAGCACCATTCTCAAGTAGCAACTTGAAAATCTCTAAATGACCATCAAAGCTGCATGCTTGTAATGGTGTGTTTCCATCATCGCCTGTGGCATTAACGTCAGCACCCTTCTCGAGTAGCAACGTGACTATCTCTAGCCGACCTTTATCGCATGCAATGCACAATGGAGTCCGTTCACCACTATCTTTGGCATGGATGTCATCACCATTCTCAAGTAGCAACTTGACAACCTCGAAATGACCTTCATCGCATGCCATGTACAACGGAGTCCATGAATATTGATTCTTGGTATGAATGTTAGCATCCTTTTCCAGTAGCAACTCGACTATCTCTAAATGACCTTTGTAGCATGCTTGATGTAATGGTGTGCTTCCATATTTATTCTTGGCATGAATGTCGGCGCTTTCATTCAACAATGTTCGAACGAGCGACAGATTTCCTTCTCGCACAGCTTCATGTAGACGCCCATCATCGTTCTCATCGTTCATTTTCTTCTATCCTTTTGCGGGCTCTGAGAATATTGTGATGCGGTGTATATGCGATGTACCGGGTATGCGATGGTTTGCATCAAGATTGGAGTCAGACGCGTTTTATAATATTGGCACAAGTCGCTCATCGCATCATAATATATTATTCTTGCTTTTTATTGTTATATTTACCAATAATATATACCGGTAGATCTTTGATTAATTCGACCAATAGTATCAAATGAATATGAACATGTAAATAAATAATCTACAGCTTTTTATTCTTTTAAAAATATACTGTATGTATTATTGTAGGATTATTATAAAGTCAAAATTAATATGAATCTATCTGAAAATAGAATATATATTGTAAAAGTGGATGTCAAACTGTATTGCATGTGGCCTTTCATCGATCGACCAATAATCCTCTTGATGAGTTGCCGAATGATGATCGATCTCCAAAGACATCAGCAAGGTCTAATGACGCAAAACTGTCAAAATTATCATCACTGCCGATGGACACATTCCCGGCAAAACAGTCAGCTCTTTGTAGATCTTCTTGATTGGGTTGACTCCTGAATTCTGTGGACAGCATTCGTTGCGGAATGGGACACAGCCTCTTGTCCTTGTTATCTCCGTGATGATCGGCGGGGTGACAGGAGAAGCGATCATGTCGAGGGGAATCCATGCTCTTTTTCGTTGACTCATTTCTTGAATTCGATGATCGTCTCTTTTCTTCAAGCTGCCTGACGACAGGATACTGCTGTCTTCGATCCTTCTTCTTGGATGAAGAGATGAAGAGTTCATCCTCGTCTTCCAAGGTGATGGCAGAGATGAGGTTGTAGTTTATCTCTTTTGAAAAGCTCTTGCTCCAGTTCAAGGTAGTGAAAGAGTCAGATCTTGCCACCTTTTTAAAAAGTTGTCGATTCTTGTTCATCTTTTAAGTTGAGTTGAGTTAATTTCTTGCTTGATTTTGAGTTGTGAGCAAAATATGAAAGCAAAACGCTGACATATGTCGGGGAAATAGCCAAGTTGAAGGTTCTGCATATGTATACCGTTTGGGGTTCCATGGAAAAAGCGATGTTGAGGTCTTTTGCGGTACCGATAATGCAGGTAGTCATGGCGAACAACATTATCAATCGTGTTCTTTCGACCACCCTCTCATCGATATTCAGGGAGCGGATGAGCGCAACGGTACACGTATGTATGTTTTATTTTTTAAAAATATTCTCTATTTTTTATGATCCCCCAAAATGAAAATACGTGCAAAACTCGATGGACGAGCATCTACAGTGCGGTTACCGTAGTACTCCGCTAACCCATCGTAAAAGTACACTGTGGTTATATAGTAAGCTGTTCATTATTGAATATGATTCTATTTATAATAGCATTTAGTTTTTTGTAATGGGAGGGGG